TTTCTTGGAGAATTTACATAAATTTACGAGAAAAATTTTAGATGTGAGAAATAGCACAGATAGAGAGCTCTTGCTATCAGACACTTTCACCCTTCATCATCATCTATTTTTTTCCCTTTTGATCCCCACACGAGGATTGTCTTGGCCATCCTCCTTAGCCTGAAGCTGAGAAATAATTGAAATATTGTGGCCAGATGGTTCTGTTTTCCAGGAGGCGAGGATAGCGTGATATTCCTCGGAAGGAGGAATTTGTTTACAGGGACATTACATTTTTTAAAACAAAAGTATATGCTGCTTTGTAGATGCTACAATTTTGTGTCAGATTGTATAGTGGAAAATACTTTTTACCTCAGATAAATTATCCTTCTCCTGAACGTGTCAGAATAAAAAAAAATGAAGGGAGACAGGAGAATGGAAAGGGAAAATGGCAGATGGAAACAGAAAAAAAAAAAGAAGAACTGCTATGACTTACATCAAATCCTATGCATTGTACTTGCTCACTGGTAATTGGAAATTAAAAGGAGAAATTCTGGAATACCTAGCAGAGGACAAGATGAAGCAAATGTTGTAAGGGCAGGCCTTGGAGAATGAACAGAAGTGAAATGTGGCAGAACATAGTAGAGGGAGAAAACAGAGATGAAGTACACTGGAATACAAAGATTCAGGCAAAATAAAAGATGAGAACACTTGGCAGGGCAGAAGAAAAAGCCCTTACAAGGCAAGGAATTTAGAGCTCTACTGAACCTCCAGAGCGACAAATAAGAACTTCAAAGGAGATTCTGGGAAAGGCAGTGAAAAAGGATACATATTCAGCATGGATTTATGCAGGGGGAATCCTGCTTAGCCAACCTGATGGCCTTCTATAGTCTGGTGACTGGTGAACTACGGGTGAGATCTGGTTAGTGGGAATCTGAGCTTGAGCATGGTTTTCTACACTGTCTCCCATAATATCCTCAAAGATTAAACTGGCAAACAATGAATTCGATAAGGGTGTGGTGAGAAAGAAATCTAGCTGAATGGCCTGGATCTAAACCTTGTGATCAGTGCAAGGAGTCCAGCTGGAGATCAGTCACTGGTGGAATGCATCAGGGGCCATGGCTGGAGCCAACAGTATTTGACATCTTCATTAATGAGAGGGTGTTCCCTCTGCAAATTTCCAGATGACACAAAGTACACGATTGGCTGGCACGCATGATGGGAGTAAAACAGCCTTAAAACTGGCTGGAGAAATGGTCCAGCAGGAGCCATGTGAAATTCAATAAAGGACTATGCAAAGTCCTGCACGTAGGCAGGAAGATTAGTAAGTCCTGCATCGGGTCTACATTATTAAGTCCACCACTGTTCAGGGAGAGATAGGGGAATAGTGGAGGGAGACTCCCTTACAAATATGACAGACAGACAGGACCCTCTGGCGTACAAGATGAGGCAGAAGAGCTGGGATTGTTATACCTGGAGAAGGGTCAGGGTAAGCTTGCCATTGTGTACATTTATCTGGTCACAGGGAGTAAAGGAAATGTAAATAGATCCTTTTCAATGATGCTCTGTGACAGGATGAGATAGTGAACACAAAATGAAATAAATAAATAAATAAATAAATAAATAAACAAACCAAACCTCCTACAGTTATTTAACTGTATGCAAAACATTGTTAATAATGAAAGTGGTCAAATCAGAGCAGGTTTCCCAGAAAGGCTGTGGTGTCTCCATCTCTGGAAGTTCTCGAATCCAGCAGAAGAGGGTCCTGGGCAAGCTGCTCCAGTTGACCCTGCTTGAGGAGATTGGTTCCTTCCAAACTCAACTATAGCATGATTTTCTGAATTATCGACTCCTGTTTCCTAAACTGAAAGGTAAACTATGAACACCCTTTCTTCATGTCTTCCATAACTTAATGCTGACTGCATAAACATGACTTTTCAACAGCAACACCAGCAAGAAGGCTTGTAGGTCAGCACAGACAAGGATCAATTTCAAAGAAAAGTACTATATAACTAAAACATTTGCATACACCTTGTAATATTTCTATTACTTCTATATACTTTTATGTTTTTAAGTTCTTGCACATTCTCTTACAAAAAGATCTCTGAAAGTCAAAGTAGCAAAGCCTAATTCACAACAGATTTATACCATGAGGGTTGGCTGCAAGCTCTAGGTTGAACTTTTTCCATTATTGGACAATTTCAAGAGCTCCAGTGTCTAATTGTTCTGGAGTTTAATTTACTGAGACAGTCTACCAGACAGGCAGCAGCCTGTGCGACAGCCTAGAACTACATTTGTTAAACCTCAGCGGCCACTTCACATATGCTGATTAGATAGCTTGTTACTGATGAATAAGAGGGTACTGGCAAGCTGCTGTGATAAGTGAGGCCCCTACAGCTATCCTCTCTCCGATTTATCTTCAAATTTTACAAGTGCTGCAAGAATAAAAGTCCTAACTCATTTAGACAGAGAGCATCTGAGGAAATTCCTTTACTGAAGTCAGCTAAAGATGACATGCTTTTTTTTTCAAATTTAAATGAAGGAGATCTAAATAAGAGAAAGATACAAGATGGAACATCTTTTTGTAACAGCAAACTTGCTTAGCAGTAATACACTTATTTATTTGATTTTACTGAAAGGAAAGGGAGAAAGAAGTTATTTTAATGACGAGTTACTTAGACGTATCCAAGATTCTCCTTGGCTTTGGAGGTGGACTTTTCAGCATTTATGTTATTGAAAATTAGAACTTCAAAGACAAATGATTCCCACTGGAGTATATTACCTGTATAATAAGGTATTTTATAAAGCAGTTTTAGAGTGCAGATGCATGAGTGGGACAAGTTGGTATGCACAGGGCAGACTTCCACCTTTGTCTTACATCCATATGTTCACCAATAACTTGTTCTTGCCTTTTATTTGCCCAGGATTGCAGCGATATCATTGTTAACAGAAACAGTTACAGTACACTGAGTAGGAAAATGTACACCTGGAAATACTAACAAAGGCACACACAAGGTGTGAGATAACATTTCAGCAGATTTTATATACTGTATTAACTAGATTTGAGGTGAAAAACCTGTTACACCATCTGAAGATGGGCAAGTGAATTACTTTTTTTTTTTTTTTTTTCCTCCAAAGCTTATAGAAATGGTATTTTTCAACAGCAATTCTGATGGTTTATGAGGATTTTAAAAATACATGCATGGGTAAAAGCTTACAGAGCGACAAGAAGAGAATGTTTTGTGGGTTTTATTTTCTTCTGCAGTCTTCTCAGAATGACACCACCACAGCTTCACATACCACAGTTCTTTTGAAAGTGACCTACACACTTATCTTCTTTGTTATCAGTACAAAATTACATCTGAGCGCTTATATTCAACCATTTGCATTTGGAGCAACAGGTCTCATATCTACATATTGCACAGCCATTCAGGGGATCCTTAGGAAGGAGATTTCTGTTGAATTAATCTTTTTCAGTCTGAAATAAAGTTACACTCAAACAATGTTCAATAAATTCATCAACACTTGGCAAACTGATGAATGAATGAACAAGGAGCAGTAGATCTGTAACACATGGGATGCTTTTTCTTTTTCTTTTTCTTTTTTTTTTAAATTAGAACAGAGTGCATATTAGCATAAGTCAAGGCATTTGATTAGAATTGGAGGGTACAGCATGCCTCCAAGGCATGACGAGCCACTGCTGAGGAGGAGGCAGATCAGCACTAGCTGAAGAATGCTACTCTGCAAATTGTCACAGTTTGTGCTAACAGAGGATAGAGCATGAGCTGGTATATTGCCACAGCTCCAGACAGCCCCACGTTCCAGGAAACCATAACCTTAATGTTCCTGCTCAACAAATCTGTTGTAGCTCCGGATAGAGAAGTTGTTCAGACCCAAGCTCTTACCCTACCTCACTTTCCTCCACCATACTCCCAAAGAACCACTTGAAAGACTTCTGGAGATTCAAATACTAGACCAGACATTGATTTCAGTGTCAGACACCTCAGCCTTCTAGGTGATTGGTGCTGTACTTTTCACCCTAAGCTTCTCCCTGTACAAGAAAGTGAGTGGGATAGAATGCTGACAGTGGGGATGGCAGAAAGTCTGCTAACCCGAAGTTACTTGTGCCACCTCTGCATTTTCCTGCAGAACATGGTATGAGGACAGCTCATTCACCAATATGCTTTGCTGGAGCACAGGTGTTGGTAGGAGGGCAAACAACTTTTATTCATTTTATTTATAGTCAGGCAATTCCTAAACACATGCTACTGTTTATAGAAGAAGCTTCAGCTTGTTTGCACAGAGACGCTGACCCTAACAGCTATTGCAAAATAAGCAGATAGTCAACAGTCTCACAGGCAAAAAACCTTACGAATAGCAAGCTTTAGTGCTTCAGCTATGTGGTCCAAAGCCAGAAAAAGGTTAATAAACTGTGACTATTTGCACAACTGTTGAAGACTGGCCCTCAGTGTTCCCAATTCACCGTACTGTCGTATGCTAATGCAAGATGCTGTTTTGCATAGGTCATTTCTGCCTTGGAAGGCAAACGCGATCTAATCAGACGAGGTTTTACTACACGTGTCGGCTCATAATTCTCACAATTTGTACACGCTGGCCCACAATTCTGTAGAGACACTGTCAAAATTTAGTGCTAAGAGTCAATTCACAGCCTACAAACATACCTACGGGTGGCCTTAAATCAATGTAAACGTGATGCTCGCCTGAGGAACAAAGAGCGAAACGAAAAACTGACAACCACCTTCAGTCACACGCGAGGTAAAGACGCAGCCTGCGGTAAGCGAGTCTGAGAACTGAGGCACCGGCACTTCGTGCGAACCCGCTCGGCCGGCAGCACCCAATCAGGGCACGAACCGGGCACAGCCCGCTGCTCCCGCCGCCGCCCCCCGACCCGCACCCCGACCCGCCACAGCGCAGCCGGACGCGGCGCAGCCCGCAAATCACGACCGGGGACGCCCCCCAAGGTCGCGCAGGCGCGGGGCGGTGCCGTAACGGCCCCAACCGCCCTCCGCCCGCGGCAGGCGGGGCCCGCGCTGGCAGAAAGGCGGGGGCAGGCCGGGCCGTGCCGCGCTCCGTAGTGCGGCAGGCACGCTCGCCGCCGGGCCGGGGTGACGCGTCCCGCCGTTCCTCCTCCCTCCTCTCCCTTCGCGGCTCCGCAGCCGCCGCGCCTCGAGGATGGCGGTGCTGGCGCTGGCCCTGGAGGGACTCGCCATCTTCGGTCTGATCCTCTTTGTCGTGCTCTGGCTCATGCACTTCATGTCCATCATCTACACGTAAGCGCGCGGTTGCGGGGCTCGGGGCTCCGCCGTGCACCTGCGGGATGCGGCTGTGCGGGGAGGGCCGGGGCGCGCTGCGCTGCGGGAGGCGGCGTTCCGCCGTGCGTTGCCGCGGTGCTGCCGGTTGACACAGCGCCGTGCGGAAAGCGGAGCGCGGGCTGCTTTTCTTTTCGGTAGACAACTCGGTGTAGGGATGAGTTGATGCATGGTGACGGTACTAGTAAGAAAACGGTGCGCGCGCGTGTGTGCGCGTGTGTGTGCGTGCGTGTGTGTGCGTGCGTCCGCGGCTGCCTGAGGCACCGGCTGTCGGGGCGCTTTACCTCGCGCTGAGGGGCGTTCGCTCCAATGGCGGACACACAAAGCAGGTTTCTGTGCGCCCGCGGAGGGGCTGTCCGGGCTGTGCGGGAAAGGACTGAAACGTGCTCCTTTCTCCGGTAGGCCTTGGTTTTACTCTATCGTCAATAAGAGGCCACTGTTGCACCGCCGTAGGTGTTAGAGAATACCCGGGTTTCTGTTTGCCTGCCTTTCTTGCTGTTCCACACAGCGATAGGTACTGTGATAAGTGCCCGCCCTTGTTGAAGACAGAGCTCCTCTTGCCTCCACGTGTGCTAGACGTACCTCTGCTGTCCTTAGGTATGATTGTTTTGCTCTCCTTTTTCTCACCAAGAATCCCTTGAAGGGTCTGATCATTTTTCCACACTGTGGTTGGGTTGCATCTGGGTCTTATATTTACTCAGGTGACTAAATTTTTTTTCTTGAAAACTAGCATACGGGTTGTGCTGGGCTTGAATAGTAGTGTTTCGGTACCAGTGTGTTGTAAGGCTGCCCTGGAAGAGGCTGTGAGGTGCCAAAGGCACAGCTGGCTCTGGGCAGCTCTCAGGCAAACAGCCCCTTGTGTGCCAGAACTTCAGCTGCCCTGTGTAAGTGCATGTGGTGGTGGTGCTGCTGCTCATAAATATTTAAGAAAGAGTGGTGGCAGCTGCAAGGGACAGGAGGCCCAAATGGTGACATGGGAGAAGGCATGTGAGAGGATAAACAGTAAGAGAGACAAGAGAGAGCGAACAGAGGGGCCACAGAGAAGGAGGTGTTATTGGCAGCTTGTGCTGTACATCCCAGGTACAGAGCAGAGGGTGTGGAGCAGTACAGGGACGCCTGGATGAACTGAGGGTGTGCCGTGGGGAGCTGCCCTGGTTGGGTGTGGGCACCCTGAGCCTCTGCAATTCAGAGGGTTTGCAGCCTGTGGGTGAGTCACGCGAAAGCAGGTGCACCTGCCAGAGGAACAGTTAAAGAGCTCCAAATATAAGTAAGGTGGGGCAGAAAACTATTATGCAGTGATGTCCTGCGTCACCTCATGGAATTGGGTTGGGGGAACTGAGTGTAAGATGTGGGGAAACCAGGAGGTTGGGGATGATCTTTATCTGTCTGAAGTTGAGTGTGGGGAAAAGGAACAGAAGATACTGCTTTGAAAGTTTGTTGCATTCTGCCTTACCTCAGTATCCAAATCAGCAGTTTCCTGTTAACTGACAATAACTTCAAGTAAGTAGAATTGCTGAAATTGGGACTGTTTTCTCTTCCAGTAGCTGCTGGACAAGGCAGGCAGGCCTGGTGTAGCTTAGAACTACTGTAAATGAAGTGGCAATGACATGTGAACAGAGCCGTAAGTTTTTGTTACTGGGAGTTTGTGGTGTGCCTGCGGTTTGCTTGTACGATAACAGCATGATAACAAGCTGTAAACTTGCCAGTGGGACAGATGATCAGTAAGAATGGAGGCAGACTCACTCCAGTTTGTGATACCCCTAGAGGAAGATGTGTCAGCAGCAGGGTTCCTGAGACCAGCTCAGAAGATACAGAGATAGGCACTGACCATCTCTGCCCATGAGCTGGGTCAGTAACATGCTTTTTAGTGCTTGGTGTGGAAGGGTGGCCCTTGGTCAAGGCTAAGCAGCTAGTAGCACTGAAGTGACCAAGCTGCAAGCTGTGCCGTGTTGCTGAGGCTAGGTGAAGGAGCTGCAGCAGTTATTGGATAGGTATATAGAAACAGGACTGCTGCTCCCCTGAGTGTGACCACTCAGCTGTCCTTGAAATTAGAGAAATTCTGGGCACCTACAGCAGACATCCCAAGGAGGTGTCTTTGTGGTACCTGTGGTGATGCTGGAGCTGGTAGGATGGATACAGCTGCTGGTAGGTGTTTACAAGGGAAGGACCCCAAAAAGCAGTCATGATTATTGCTGTGGCCTGAAAGTGCTGGTGGTTAGGCATGGTTACTCATGCCCCTCTGTTGTGTCTTGGATATTTGTACAGCATGCTGCACCCTTCCCAAGGTCACTGAGGTGTCAGGGGGTCTTCTGATACATGGAAACTCCTTTTGATCTCAGTGAAAGGATGTAACATGGTAGTAGAGTTCTATCATGTTTACCACATACTGAAAGCTACTTAAACTATGCCAACTACAGACAGCAAAGAAGAAAGATGAAATTAATTAGTCCTCCCATTTCTCACGTTGTGTGATAATGTTGGTTTGATGTTTGTTTAAGTGATTGGACTAAGGACTGTTCTCAGCCCACTGTGTCTAGCAGCACTTAACTGGTGGGTTGCAGGAACTGAACTGTGCTGTTGGAATAAAACAGTGTTAAAACTTTTCCACAAAGTTTGCATGGCCCACGCAATCCTCATTCTGTGGTTCTCTTTTGAAATTTTAAGTGTTTGATTTTAAAGTAATAATAGTGAGAATACGTGTGGATTAAGTAGATAGATAGGATTATGCATGTTTGAGAAAGTAAACTTTTCTTGTTTTGAAGTGTTGTCAGCAATTGACAAGGTTAAAGAGCATTTCAGTTGTGTTGGTTTATATTATAATTGCTTTAAAATGATGTAGGTTTTGGATATCTAAAGTTGAGAAATGCCAGTTGAGAAACTGTCTGCTGTCCATTCTGCTGTGTCGCATTTGTTAAAGCTTAATCTGCTTCTTGACACTTTTCTTCCTTACCACATTTTCCCACCGTGAATGTTTTTGATTTATGAAAAATGCAGTGGGTTTGGTGAATTTCACTTTTCTTCAAAATGAACAGGTGGGTCAAACAAGGAAGTTCAGATAGTCATACTGCTAAGTCAAAGGGCATTCTATAAATTGTCTGAAGTGCATGATTTGAAACCAGTCTAAGTTTGTTGCTCTCTGTGTAATACTGAGTCAGTGAAGTAAAAGAAATTAACATAGGCCTAATGCATCTTTTTATTGCTAGTAATTAGGTAAAGGGCAGTTTGCATACATTTACTCTGTGTAATAAGGCAATGGTATCTGGCCTGTTTGTGTTGCTTTCCTTTATATCCTACACAAGTCCTGGAGCAAGGATCTTTGCGTGCATATAGCTGCTTGAATTGAATTTGAACATTGACTGATCCAGCAGGAGTTTAGTGTTGGATGTTGCTGTGTATACTAATTCTCAAACCATCTGAAGTTGTGTGATTGCATGGACAGCTAAAATGGACTTTCAGAACGAAAATAAAAGGGAAGGCAGTGTGAATGATGTGCAAATAAGGAGAGGGTTTACAGTGTTAGTCAGGAGACTCAGGAGTAAGTTTTGATATTTTATCATTCGGTTAAACTAATGATTCCTAAATAACTTCTACTCTGAAGATATACACAGAATGGAACAGATGCCTTCTTAAATCAGGGGAAAAAAGTAAACAACTAAAGTTGCTTTCTCAGGGCTAATGGCACTCTAACACATTGTGTTTCTGAACAACTGACTTTCAAATTCTATGGCAGTGGGTTTGCTGCTTTAACAGTATTTGAAAATAGATAGTTCTGGTTTAATAATGATAGGTGTTTTCTGAACATTCTATGTCCCTTCCTAAAATAAAGCTGGCAAACAAAGCCCACAGAAGCTAGAAAAAGCCTTACTTAAGTGTAATCTGATATGTTTCCCTACTAAAGTCTTTTGACTTCAGTCTAAGAATGAAGGAAAGCCTGTGTTTTATACTTCTCTAGAAACTCAAATTGATTATTTCAGCTCGTATCCCGCACAGGGGTGTATATAGCAAATACATTCTGGGACTGAGGACAGAGGATAGGATGTTGTAAGTTTTGGAAGTTGTGTTCTGCATGGCATCGCTGAACTGCATGAACTTTGCCAGTGTCATAGAGTTCCTAAGAAATGCTTGGTGAGTTTCTTAGCGTGCTTGTAACTTCCTGCTGTGTTTTCCTGGTCCACAAAATGAGACTATTGGAGTCATGTTTCGGTTTTGAGTCTCCATTGTTCTTGTATCTGTTGCCAGTAACAATTCTAATTGCAGAGCTTTTTTTTTTTTAAGCGAACCATAGCCAGCTGGTACTGATGTTGCTGATTGTCCTTGCTTCCCAGGTGTAAGTGTCATACCATGGAATTGATGACCATATTGCTGTTTTTAATTTTTAAAAATAATTTAAGCGTATGGACATTAAACAGTAGTCAATGAAAAATTAATTATTTAATTGTGCTGCATCTAGAGATGTAATTAGACACATTATGCCTTGTCTATTGGCGTAACCCAAGGCTTCCAGAAACTTAACAAAGAAAGCAAGTTCCTACATGCAAGTGAAAACATATATAATACCCTTAGCTTAATGTATAAGCACGCAAGGATGAAATTCAGTTTGCAAAGGTTCAGAAAACTCAAGTTTACCGAAGAACTTATGCAACTTTGAAAAGCTTTCTAAAACATGGGTTCTAAACAGACACCATCACCACCCAACAAAGCTCTGCTTGACACCTGCTTTTTGAGTTGTTTTGATCTTTGGGGTAATAATAAATTACTGTATAGCAGTTGTCGCCTTTCCTTCTGAAGAAAGCATTTTTTTTGTTTAACTGTCTCAGTGCCTTCTGTTGGCCTGTCCCTTGCTGCTTGGTTTATGACTTGTGTCCAGTCTTACACTGCTCTTCTCTGATATCTCTGCTTGTCTTTGATCTTGTTCTTCTGCCTTTTTGCTTGTTGCTATAGCTGTTTCTATGTTTGGGCTG